CCTTAATTAATGGAGGGCGTCTGTAGCCTGTCAAAATCATTTCCTTCTAAAGGATTTTTATACAGAACTTCCATGTGCTAATAAATGTCCGGCAGTTAAGGAATTACTCATTCCTATGTGACTACTTACACAGACAGCAAATAAGAATTAATATGCTTAGAATAAATGAGAATTTTACTTAGTAACTGCTAATTCTATGAATAAAAGATGCCAAATCTTAAACATGCTCTTAAAGATGATAAAATGCAAAGACTATTGCCATAGTTAAAATCTGGGGTGGGGTTGGGTGGGGTGGGGAGTAATTTATATATGAAAAGCAATAACCTCATAACTATATAATAATTCTTTGCTTCAGTTATGGAGAGGGGTATTATCTCTAGCTTACAGCAAATAACCAATATCATTAACTCAAGCATGAAAACTGGAACTCATGGCAAGACAACAATTAATTTAATATAAGCAATTATGAAGGCCTTCGTGGTGTTTATAAAGATACACATTGGAACGTTAGAAAAAACAGATTGGGCTTTTAATGTTCGCTAGAGTAAAGCTTCATTATTTTCAAACTCTGAAATTTTCTTTTTGGCCTTTTTCTTACAGGATATATCTATTTTTTCAACGGGCCCATACAGTTTGAGTACAGCATCTGGAGTAAACGTATTGTTCGCGTCATGCCAGCAAATTCCCTATTGTGGTGTTAGATGTTTTTTAAAATACTGTTATTTAAATCCTGGAGAGCATTTGTGATATTACTTCCAGACCCTTTGTGTGTCGGGGGGGGTGGGGCTAGGGGAGGGGGAGAGATCAAGGGAAAGCTTAGTTCTGTGAACAAGCTTCAGTAAATTATCTTTGAATATGTAGTGTCTGTGCGGCTATGCGTGGCTGGAACCACATTGAATTTTATAGTAATGAAATCCATTATCTCCATGGATCACCTGATCTATACGGAACCAGTAGTTGACAATATTCCCCACATCAGAAATGGGATAGATGGTCTGTCGGAGAGTTAGCTTAATATATTTATAAGGAAACTTTGCAAAGACGTAAAAGTGAATGACATTTATACAATTAGTGAATCATCTTTACTAACTAGTATAAAATCATAAGCAAATGGAATTCCGGGGGGAGCATGTAACAGCCTTACACAAACAGAGATCAGCCAAAGGAAAATGTCTGTAACAAATACACTGTAGACAACTTCCCAAAGGAATAATTTGGGTTTTGCACTAAAAATATTTGAATATCCATGCCCCTCTTCATAAGGAAATGTCAAGGTCACTAAAGGTAGGAGATAAGGTCTAATGGTGAGGACACTCGGCGTGGTCTTTCTAGTCTCTTCAATTTTCACTTTTGACAATGACTCAAAGACTATTCTCAAAGAAGACAAATATTTCTTTTCATATTTATAGAAGATAAAGAGAGATGTTCTCTTTGTGTTAAAAACACTTCAGGTCTTTCAAAACTATCAAAATAAATTAAAATTGTTAACAAAATGCCCTAAGGCCACAGCATCACTTTTTCCTAAATCACCTGATTATTTAAGATTGAAAGTAATATTTAACTCTGTTTTATCTAGCTAATTGTTTAAATTGTCCAGTTTACCTTAGGTATAATCTATTTTTGAAAGATACTAAGATATGTCTTATAAATTGTAAATGTATAAGTTAAGATAGAGACACCCCAAATAAAACAGTCTACTGGACTGAAGAATGAAACTATGCCTCTTTTCTCTCCTTTTTTTTTTTCTTTAATCCCTCAGAAATTTTTACAGTGCCTGGCACTTAATGGCCATCAAGGAAAGAACCATTGTGTTGAGAGATCATGTTCATAAAAACTCAGGCAAAGAAAAGAAAGTGTGTTATATTTGCAAAATGCATTAGGAAGTGTTTGTATTGTTTATAATAAAAAAGATATTTTCAACAGACATTGTTATCTGGTATATTTTTGTCTTTTGGTATAATTTTAAGCTTTCCTCACACACAGAGTGTCCATTTAAATTATTCTTTTTTCTCGTCAGTGCTTCTTGGTGATGTAGGTGGTGACTGTTTCTGTTCTTTTGTTTGTTTGGTTTTTGTAAGGAGACTAAATGCGAATTTAGAGTTACTGGTGCCAGGCTCTGTTAACTCCAGTTCTTGGGGAGTTTGGTCAGCCTGATGCTCAAGAACCCCCTCTTTCTGGGTGAACGTCCCTAGATCAAGCCCACAGGCTCCTAGGAATCCTCTCTGCTCAGAGTATGACTTGGGGACGAAATGGAAAGAACAACAGACCTGGAGTCAGGAAGACTGAGTCGCAGGGCTGACTCCGCCACCGGTTCTGGCTTGTGGCTTCAGGCAGGTCATTTAATCTCTCTGGACTTTACTTTCCTTTAAGATGAAAGGATTAGCAGCTTTGGGGAAGTTCAGGAAGGGCAGGGCACTCAAACGAGGAAGACAAACACTGTCTGGGAGACTCAGGACCCACTGAGCTTCAACATTAGGTCCCTTCTGTTTTCTTAAGCACTGCTCATCCCCAAACTCTTAATAAGTACCAGGTAAATGTCAGGCACCTATGATACTGAGATGAACTATGAAAAACTTGACCTGTACCCCTGAAGACCTGCTTTCCTACTGTGGAAACAAAGCAATTAAAATTCAGTAAATGAAGGGCTTGTTTCAGGGAAGCAATAACCACTTGTTATGAGTGTGGAGAGGACTGCTCATTCCTTCCTCCCAGTGAGCCCCCAAAGTCAATCTATGTACTTTTCATCCTCCTTGACAGTTTGATAGGATCTTGATTTCTAGGTTTTGCTACTGGAGTGGAACGTCATCCATCCATCCATCCAATAAATAAATAAACTATAATAAATATTAATTCCAGTCTTGTGTCAGGAACTTAAGTAGATGCTGGGGTTACAGAGAAAAGCAAAACCTCGTTACTTTCCTGGAGCTCATAGTGTAGTTAGGGAGACAGACATTTATCAAAAAAGAAAAATATATATAAATTACAACTATGATAAACGCTACAAGGAAAGGAAACCTGGTGCTCAGAGATCCTCTCATAGGAGGGGTTTTCCTACTGTGTATATGGGGGGGGGTGGGCACAGGAGGGTGGTTAAAGAAGGACTTCACAATGGGAGAGATTTATACCTACATTGACATCAAGAGTGAGTACGGGGGAGGGTATAGCTCAATGGCAGAGCGTTTGCTTAGCACACATAAGGTTTTGGGTTCGATCCCCAGGACCTCTATTAAAAATAAATAAATAAGTTAACCTAATCACCCCCCCCAAAAAAAGAGAATATAACCAGGGCAGTAAAGGGAATAGGGGAGAGGGCTCCAGTCCCATCCCTTCAGACTGAAAAAGATCTGCTGGAGCCCAGGAGAGAGTTACAGGAATGTTTTATGATTTTGGCAGAGTATGGACATATATCAGGAAACCCTTTAGAGCCAACCATGTTCCTCCTATTCTACACCATGCCAAACATAAATCAGAGGATCTGTGATACACAAGGGAAAAAAGCCTTCTTGATTTTCAAAGCCTAGAAAGACAGCGTGGGTCATTCTAGGGGTTGGTGTGTCATGTGGATGTATAGTCCGTGGTAAATGAGTCAGTTGATGGGAACATCAACTTTTTTGTAGCGTATGGATGTCAGCATTATCCTGAACCAAGGTGGGCCCCTGTCTCCATCAGAGCCCTGGCCTGGCACTCAGTGAATCAGGGAATTGTACTGGTGTGTAGAAGGGCCGCTCACCGCCCCCACTCTTCGTCTCAAGTGGATAACTCAGCTCTCAGGGAACCTCCTGGTGGACAGTTTCTAATTCCTCTCTGCACAGGAATGGTTGCTTTAGGATAACACTTCTCAAAACATGCTCTGCAGGCCAGCAGCAACAGCATCACCTGGGAACTTGCGAGAGATGCACATTCTGTGCTGCCCCAGGGCCATAAAATGAGAGATCTGTGTTTTAACAAATCTTTCCATCCCTCAGGTCCTACCACCCCTCAGAAAAAGTCTAAGGAGGTGCTCCTTGCAACACTTTTTCTGAGATGACATGGGGTTCCTTGGGTTCAAAGCCTCCTGCTAAGATCCTGGGGAACAATGTACTCTACACCCCTTCCGGAAGATTCACAGTATACATGAATATATTAAAGACTACAAATAGTCCAATGCCAAAGAAACTGTTTAGCTTGTGGAATAAGAACAAGGTTTTCCAAACATATCTGAACATTGAACTTCATTTACTTTCTTTTCCTCTCATTAAAAAAAAAGATGTTTAACTTGATTTCAGAAAAAATTCCATCTGCTTTATTATTTGCTTGCATGGTCTCTCTCATGGATGGCTAGATAGATCAATAGCTAGATGGTAATATATAGTCAGAATTATTTCCCAATTTCCATCTCTGCTCCAGTCTCAATTTCAAATTCCCAATCTAACTGATGTTACGTGGATCTGTGACCTTCTGTTGTGGCCAGAACACCAAATTCAAATTATACCAAATGGCTATTTAGAGTTTACCAAGGCGGGGCAGAGATAGTGTTTAAAATCAACTCAATATGTGTTGAACAGTTGGTCCTAATAAGCTGTGCTATGAAAGGTGTTACAGTTAAAACACAAAAGCGTGTTCACAGTGATATTCATGTATGATGTGAGGAGACCTAATGAATCTTTTATGAGAGGTAATACTACATCCACAAACATTGACGTGTATTTGCCCAGAGCTAACGCCGTGGGCAAATGCATTGCACTCAGGTTGAACTGTAGCTGGAATCCCGTTTCATCAGGTAATAAGGGTGAAGAGTTTGAACACTCCCTTGACTTCAACAAATAGTTCAAGTGTTTTTTGAAATAGGAGCAGTTGACAAGATCCTAGACCAGTGTAACAAATTTTGCCCCTGAAATTATCCCGGGAGAACTTTCGTGTTAAACTGAAAATAGTGTCCTGGGTCTCTACACCTTCATATCAGAATAAAAATGCCAAAACATATATAGCAGACCTCCCAGAAAGACAGCCACCATCTCTCCCTACCAAATTTAAGCCCCAGGTACAGACAATACCGTGGTATTCAAGGATGCATCGGAAGACTGTGAGATTCACAGTACTTCCACCAGGTGGCGTCAGCAACACTCTTTTGAAAATGATGAATCATTCGGATGATTTAATTGTCACAAAACCAATGCTTTTTTCCTTAATGCAGGGCTGAAGAACCTGGCTAAATTGCTGATGGTTAATTCCTGACTTTATGCCATTGACTTTTAAATAAGGTGTAACAGCTAAGGAACTCAAGAAAAGCTTGCTCTAGTTTCCTTAGTCACTTACCACCTCAACTCTAAAAGCTTCCTTCTCGGAGGCGAGAGTCAGTATGGTGTGTGATGCCAAACCACCGAGACCGGTGCGGGCCCCCTGGAGCCGGAGCGTGTGCGTCATCGCAGGGCTCTGGGTGACAGACTCCAGCGTGAACCACAGAATACACAGTATGCACAGAGAGGGGGATCCTACTCCAAAGAGAAACCAACACATTTATTGGTTTTCTAGCCAGGAGCAAGAGGGGAGAAAATCCCAAATCACCAGGCGCGTTTCCTGGGGACGATGTCAAGTTCAGAGGAAGAGAACGCTTAAGGTTTCCAAAGTTTCTTTCACACATCGTTTGGTTTTTCTAATTTTTTTGGACATTTATACCCGCCTGATATTTCAGAGTTTGTGAAATGCTGATTTAAGATTTCTTGGCTTTGTTCTATCTACCTCATTGTTCACAAGGCACTCAAATTGGACTATTTTTAT